TACATGTAAAAGAGCAACTTACTTCGACATATTAAGTACAATGCAATACATATCAATGTAGTGTTATATTTCCGATACACAAATTATTGTAAATAAAATCTAATACCTAATGGACCCTAAGGGGCTAAGTATATAATAAAAAAAGGATATGATATAAAAGTATAATATAAAAGCATATAATAGAAAAGCACAATAAAAGGAATAAGGAACAGGAAAAGGACAAAGAATAAGAAATAAGAAATACTGAAAACAAAAAATAACGCTATTCCTCTATTCCTTTATTCTGCGTTAATGAATTAAATTTCATGTTTTAATATTGAACTGTTCCCTATTCTTTGTTCTCTATTCTCGATTCCCTATTCCTTATCCCTTTTATTGTACTCAGACCTTAAGAGTTACAGAATCGCACATTTCAAACTGTACTTTCTGTATTTCTTTGCGATCGTTTTCTTTCACTTTTCCTTTCGCAAAATGTGAAGGTTACATCGTGACCCGAATATCGAATATACACGAAATGACACATAAATGGCATAAAATTACTTGCACTTACGCGTAACGATACATCAGCCATGCTCGAGCATGAATCACTACATCCTTTGAACATTCCGCTGTCGTTAAGTCGTGCTTATCGTCCAATTGTACGTTCGCCATTTCATTGGTTCCCACAAAATCCATATGTATAGCTCGCGCTTCGGCGTTCGTGAAGATATGCGTACGACACTAATATCGATAGCGCGAATCTCCTGTAAACACATTGCGTTTCTCACGGTCGAAAAGAGGGAAAGTGCGAAGTTCGTGCTGTGTTGAACGAAGGAAAAAATTTGATCTAATCAACACGGTAACGCGCGATATCACTCGAGATTCATACGATGCGCGAAATGGTTCAAGTGCGACAAGAACGATGACGACGAGAACGATGTCGTAGTGCAACTAATTCGAATTCGGACCATTTTACTTTTCGCTCGCGATGCCGCCGAGTCGCCTGGACGCCGTCTACAGGAGCATACTGCTTACCAAATTCTTCACGAAGGGCTGGGGTAACCCTCAAAATTTGAAACGGTAAGTTGTTAACCTGAATCGTCATTCGAGCAACGTCATTCAATGAGTACTTCACATCTTTAGATTCGCAATCTTGACGAGCATTATATTTACGTGAATATGAGACTGCTCTTTGTTGAACAATGAAGAACACAACGATGAATAGTTTATTTCATTAATATATAATTTTGTGTAATGCTTCGGAGGAAAACTGACATTAATATATAAATAACATCTGAACTTATCTATATGTTAACCTCACATTGACTGTCCTACAGCCAATGTTATATAGACGTAGTAAAGATAATGCTCTGAATAACTAGAAACACCCATTTGCTTTTATTCTTTTACCATAAGATCCTCTTGTCTAGAAATAATTTGTTATTTATAGAAATATATAATATTCATGCAAACTTTTATTCCAGGATTTTTGAATTCAGGAAAGTTATAGCAAACCGAGAAACATGTTACAATATGATTCCATGTGACTATCCAATAGAAATTACAAAGGTACTCAGCAAACTCTTTGTTACAAACTTGACAAATACTGAAGAAAATTGATATTTATGTGTATTTATATGTATTATATGTACTATAGAGTTTATATATATATATATATATATA